TTTTACCTGTATACATAGCTCCTCCTTTTTCAAATAATTTAGCTGGTTTATCATATGGTTCACCACAAATACTACATTTTCCTCCTATAATATAGATACAAAATTTCTTTTAATGATTCAAAATTGTGAAATTAACCAACTATGAACATTCCATTGAAGTTGAGTACCACCACAAAACATTTCCATATGATTACTATAAGTACAACATTGTTTAAATGATTGATCAACAAGCCAACCTGAACTACGAGCTACTGGATCTAATAGATAACCATGACCATAAACGGATATAAAGCAAGATGTAAATATATACAGTAAACCTAACATCGTAGTCATATTTAATAAATACAATCGATTCTAGATGCCTCTCGTCTATTTATAGTGATGGTTCTTTTAAAAAAAATAAGGCTTATCATATACATATTTTCATATCAGGCCTAGAGTGGATGCACTGCGTGAGAATAAAGCAGATGGTTAGATAAAAACAACAACAACAACAACAATAATCACTATGTTGAATACTATGGCGGCGTCGAAAATTCAAAATTTCATTGATGTACATTTTTATTTCATGAATATTTAGAAATGTTTTATAACTAAATCAAAGTTTTCTTTATTGAAAGTTAAATTAGTAGTTGGTCCTTGAAACCAATATTTTGCTGATAAAAAATAAGCAAATCCAGCGCATATAATTACAATTCCAACACCAACTGATGCATAATTCATTGTAACAGCAGTAATTGGATAAATTGGTGGAAGAACAAAAAGAACAATAATAAGACAAACCCAAAGAAGTGCAATTATATTAATAAATTTTGAAAATATTCCAAGATGAAATGGACCACGAAGAAATGCATTCGGATAAAGAAGTTTACATACAATAGGCAGTATATATGATATATATAAACAAACAGTAGATAGACTTGTAATAACCACAAAAGTAGTTGTATTACCTAAATAAGGAAGTGCAAGAAGAAATGCAATAAAACATGATAACCAAACAGCATTAAGTGGACATGATAAGCGAGGATGAATTATATGCCACCAACAAGAACCGGGCTGTAAGAAAAGAAAAAAAGAAAAGAATAATTTTATTTTTTCCACAATATATTTTTATCAAATGAAATCGTTTATACGACTATTTAATTACCATAGCATTATCACGACTAAATGCATAAATCATTCTTGAATTTGTTGTTACTGAAGCTAAACCAGAAAACCAACATGCTATTAAAAGTAGACACATAAAAAATAATGTTAATTCATTATTAAAATTATCAAGTAAAATTTGTATTATTGGAAAGCCAGTTGATGTTCTTATTGTAGTTTCATAGTCGTGTATACCAAAAAAGAATGCAATTAGAAAGATCCATCCAATAATAATAGAAACTAATATGGCATTAATCATACCCCATGGACTAGCTTTATCAGCTTGTTTAGTTTCTTCTGTTATATGAGCTGATGCATTATAACCAGTAAGAACATAATGAGCTGGTAAAAGACCCATTAAAATAACATAAATCTTTAAAGAAAAAGAAAAAAAAAATAACAAGAAAAAAGAAAATTAATTTACTTTATTTGTCCATCCAGTTTCATTTTTAAATTCTGTAAAAACAAATTTAATTGATTGATGACCTGATTTAGCACCAATAAGAAGTGCTAATGAAACAATAATTGGTGCTAATAATTGCCACCATGTTGATATATATATTAACCAAGAAAGAAAACGTATTCCTAATGAATTACATATTCCATGACTTATTATAATTATTAAATATATAAGAATAATATGATATCGTTCAGGTGACCATTGAAAATTTAAACTTAATGAAATAACACTTGCTATCAACATAGCAAGACTAAAATCAATAGCAGTTGTTATAGTAAATTGTCCAATTAAATTAAACCATCCAGTAAACCAACTTACTAATGCTTTATGTCGTTGTGGTACAAGTATACCTGTCCAATAGTAAAGACCACCTGATGTTGGGTAAGCTGAACATATTTCTGCCATACCAAAAACAATAAAAAGAGTAAAAAAACAAACAATAAGCCATCCCCATATCATAACAACTGGACCACCTGTTATCATACCATATGAAAATAATGATGAAAGACCAGATGTAACACTAATAACTGATAATGACATTCCATAATTAGTTAAACGAGTAAATGCTCGTGTTAATTCTTGTTTATAGCCAAGTGATTGAAGACGAAGAACATCAAAATCAAGTGTATTCAAAATCATTTTTAACAATGTACTATCATTTGTTAACATATATTTACATGCGCATTCGAGTAGAACGATGAAAATGACATTTTTATTGACCTTTGATCATTCGAAAGAACGAAAAGAATTTTTTATATGTTCAAATGATAACCTTTTTCTTGTTATCTTTTCTTTTATTCAAAATATCATTCATCATTTTAAAATTTCTTCAATTAAATGTTCATGAAACGAACTATTAAATCGATCAAGATTGAATGTGCATGATATGACAAACTTTTGAATGGTAATATTGTTTATGATTACTGACATTAACCACAAAAATGGACGAGATCATTTCATCGATATCTACAGACGCTTAATCAAAGGATATTTCTTTTCATTTAAACTTCATTTATATACTGATCTATAGATCTTAATTAGTGGAAGAATAAGTAAACAATAGCAAAACATAACCTAGTGACAATTGTTCTTGCAATATCTTTCATTTCCATCGGGAAAGCTACTAGTAAATTGTTGTTCAAGTGTATTCTGAGTTGACTATCTACATTTTCTGCTTCGTTTTCAACCGCAGATAAGATGTTAGTATCTTCCGCAAATTGTTCTTGATAGAATGACTTAGTAGCATCACACATTTCCGTTGGTTGTTGAGATTATACTACCATTTATCAGCAGAAACCCTTGGACTGATTATCTTCTCAGCATCTAGATAAAAGATTCGCTTTCTGGTAGGAATAGCGACTTCGAGTGAACACGGTTAGTTCATAAAAAATTTCCACTGAAAATCCAAATTCTCGCTCAAAATTGAACTTCCACCAAATCGTTCAGCGCCGATTCAATACTTAGTATAACTCGAACTTTTACTAAAGTGAGATGCCCTTGGACTATAACTCTCTAAAGAAATTTAGATGTCTATTACATGTGATTTCTAAAATATAGGATATAAATTTGCCAGAAATCATCATTTTTTCTCTTAAAGCTCTTTAGTCGTCATTATTTTACTATGTAATTGCTTGCAAAATTTTGGCGTAAACATTTCTATTTTCTTTAATCTTACTTCACTCGGACTTAGATCTACTAACAGAAGATTATGATCATTGTACTCTCCATAAAAAATTGAGCAAGCATTGAAAATATATATTTTGTCATAACCTAAGTCATAGAACTTTCATGTAGAACTATGCATTCAGCTGCACACTGTTAATGGTGATCTCTTCTGCAACTCGTTTTCATACGTCATAGGTTGATATTACTATGATGCTATACATCCTGGATGTGTCTTTTTTGCATTTTCCTAACTGAATTCTCAATCTACGTATTGCTTGGAGGAAAACATTGTCTGAAAATCATGATGTTCATCACAAAAGCGATATTTGAGAACATTCCAGTGAATGATAGGAATTTTGGCGAAGATATCTCTCTCTAAACGCTAATTTAAGTGAAAATTTCAGAATTCTATCTTATTCCAATCATGTGGTATGAGGGACAAAAGTTGTCTAAAATGTAAATTTTGTCATATTCGATGAGTCATAAAAAATGAAGAGTTTATAATTGTGAGTTGAAAATTCTATTCTGAGTACAACTCATTGAATTATATGTCTGCAATAAAATTTCAACTTAACCGATCGAGCCATTTGTGAGATATTGAATCCACAAGTCACCTATTTTTGGATATGTATTTTTGCAGGTTCCTCAAAAAAAAATTATAAAATATTGACGATTCTATATTTTTCAAAATGGGTTCCGCCAAAATTCCTAAAACTCTTCCCTCTGCGATATATTCTGAATTGAATAATGTCTCACAATCTCGGCTAAGCAGGTTCGCCTGTGGGTTATGTAAAATGACTGTTGTAGGAAGTATTGATTGTACTGGATACATGTTAAAGTAATCACTAATCTCTCCAAATGGATGACTTTTAAAAATTTGGATTAGCCTATCGCGGATGCATTTTTCAATGCTAAAAAATAAATTCTGATTTAAGTCCTATTTGAAAGAAAGTTTAAAGTTGTGTTGTGCGTATAAAATCTGGATAAATAATGAAAAATACGATGATTAACGCGGTAGTAGAATATCTTGTGTGGCTTAGATAAAGATTTCGTGGTACTTTGATTTCAATTATTTAATACTCATTGGATAGCTCGTTCTTTGCTCTATCAAAATCCGTAAAGAAATCTCTGGATCCATTAGAATGGGCAGAGAAATACAGCTTGCATTGAGAAAGAGAACAAGACAAAAATGTAGAAAAAAGCAGTAGGGTTGATCTAGTTTTGAGGGTGTTGTACCTACAAAATGGAGGGTGAGAACAAGATGACATATACAGTTTTGCAGAGCAGAATTTGCTCTATTAAATAGTATATTACTCGAAAAGATTGTGATAATTTACTTTGGAGATAATAACCAAATACTGACTTACCAAATTTTGCAAGAAAAACAAAAATACTTTTCAAAACCTGTTGAGGGTGCCTTCAGTGTGTATTTCATAATTTTTTAGAGGTAAGCTTGAATGAGCTAAAATTTTGGATTTATAGGTTTTTCACTTTGTTCTTTCATTTCCAATCATAAAATATAGGGGTCAAAATTTTCAAGAGTATGACCCTATTGTAAAATGTTCGATTTTCTCGTGGACTGTCTCTTAAGAATTCAATGTAAATGTGATATAAACTTTTTTTTCGCCATTGTCAGTTGTAACTAAATCAAATGTGTAATTCATGTGGTTTTCTTTTTTCTGGTCACAGGAACGATGCTCGTCTATGACATCGAAGCGTGAGGATGAATCACACACTTCCCGATGAAATAAAAGCATAATAATAATAATAACCTACTCACAATGGTATAGGAAATATCTGAATCACAAAAGCTAAAAATCGCTCGGTTTGTTTTTAGCGACAATAAGTTCAATGGAACTGGAATTCTTTTTACCAATATTAGACACTGTTTTGGGTACTTAGTTTCTTTTTATTTCCTCCCATTCGAATAAAAAAGATTAAAATACTGAGTGTACTTCCAAAAAAACATATTTTCTTTTTTGTAAAATCTGCCAAAAAATCAACGGTACAATATTTTTCAAAACAAAAGCAGGTAGACACTCAAATAGTGTTCAATATCTGTAAAAACAAATTTCGAGAATTCTAAAAATTAATAAATTATAAAAAAAATGATTTCATTGAATTTTGTAATCTTAATTTCTAGTTTAGTTCTTCAATAAATCGAAAAGGAATTAAAAATTCTAGATTGATAAATCGAAGCATATTTATATTTTTGTTTCAACGAAAAATAAAGTACATCATCTTTCATAAATAATATAATTTCTTATTTGACACTTCGTTTTTTGCTCCATTTAAATTTCTCTGATCGTACATCCCAGATCTCTTGAAGAAGCTTCATTGTCGGCAATTACTTTTGTTTTTGTTTGAAGGAACATGTGAAGCTGCAGTCCTGGTTTTTTTGAATTAGGCTTTTTTATTATTATATAGAAAATAAAAACATTTTTATATATAGGTGATCATTAGCAGAGAGTTTTTCGAAGTATTGAACTGTTTATCCTTTTTCTCCGTGTATAAAAGGTAAGTATTTAAAAACAAAAAGACTTACAAAAAAAAATTAAATCTATACAATGAGGATCCATGAGAGAATTTCAGTTTGCCGAATGAGTTACTTTTGACCTTTGTATCTCTCAAAAATGTAATGGAATAGGACTGACGATCAAGTTTCAAGGATGGGAGAGGCTTAATTATTTTTCGTCAACTAGAAAAAAAAACGATTCTAATATAACTCGTTCTCATTATAAATTCAATACAGAAATATTAACTAAAGAGATTTATTGGCACTTCTCTTCTTTATGATAATTTCATTGATTGGATAACTTTCATGTAAATGATATAGAAAGGTCACATAATAAATTACAAAGTTTTACAATTCGATATATATTTTTTCTAAGGATAAAATAGTAGTAAAAATTGTTCACGCAATCCGTACGCGATTAAAATGCAAAACATCTTGGAACTATTAATATTGTAAAAGACGGAATTCAGCAACATAGGTTTTAGTTTATGAATTAGTGTCTACTGTTAATGCATATCGATGATAATCGTAATATAATATAATCAGTATGATCGAAAGGCAATGACAAACTATCTTAAACTCAACTGGGATTGATACTAATCCCGTTATAGACTTGGATCACTATGCTTCAACATTCCTTTTCGATTATGTTTAACAAAATCCTAATGGTATTTGCCCTAAGAAACAAAGGTCAAAAATTTGCATTATACATATGGAAAAAGAGAAAGGCAAATAATATATACATCTGTGAATAAGATGTTGTGGGGGGCGAAGAAAGCAATGCCGATATTTACTAACACAACTAATTTTTTTTCTTTTCCAATAAAATAAAAATAACTGTTTGAATGAAACTACGGAATATATTATTTCAGAATAATATTCTAATGTATTCTTTTAATTAATATAGACATTACAATTTTTAATAGTATATATCATAGAAAATGAGTTATTTTCTATTGGTTAAAGTGAGCACTACAAAAAAATATTTAATGAGACCTCGAACACTTAAGATATTTCTTTCTTCTTGTAATGTTATTATTACATGAATGGAGAAAAAAAAAATTTTCTCAGTATTGAAGAACAATTTTTCAAATTTAATTATTGATATTAGTAAATATATAATACAAATAATTCTCTAAGAAAAAGAAAATGTACATAGATCTTATTTGTAAACGAAAACTTTCTTCAATTATGATCGATCATATTATGATGTATGTTTATGAAATACGTTATTGTGCATTCTAGATCAGAGAACAATAGAATTAATAATACTTTTTCTTATTCTTCCGTTATATGAAAAAAGAAACAGAAAAAAAAATATTTCTTTCATCTACTCGATGAGAAATTGTTATTTTACCATTTTTAACAAAGGCTAGAAGTGTTTATAATGATTATAGTAATAATAATATTTCTTCTTTTAGGTAAGAAAATATTTTTTATAGTTATTAAATTCAAGTCATTTTCTACTTAGGATCGATTGAACGTGCAT